GAGGAAGACCCCCCAGGGTCCTTGGGTGATTTTTTTGAAGACGAAATTTTTTATTTCCTTATATGGTAATTTTTTTTTGGAAATGCGTGATGTGGGAAAGAGTTTTTTTTTTGTCATAAAATTTTTTTATTACTTAATTTAAATTTAAATTTATATATTAATTACATTAAAACTTTAGCAATTACTGTAAAGATTGCTGATCAGGTGTTGTGTTCTTTTTGGAAGACAGTGTACATACTAATTGAAATAGACTTGAGATGGACCTTTAATTCGGCTATAAAATATTTAAGTATTGCCTGAGAAGATTCGTCTTCCAGATTCTTGTACTCACTCGTGAAAGGTAGGAATACTACTGTAATAATGAAGGCTAATCTGTTTTACTGAATCCATACTTTTGGTAAAGTTCAATCTGAGAAGGCTTTTGAGAGGGTCTCTATGAACATGGTAAACTTAAAATTGTTTTTTTGATATGAGTAGCTGGAAGTATTTCCCACTGTTGTATACAACATTGAATATAGCACCATCATTTTTAAGAGCTGGTGTTTGATACACAGCACGTATAGAATCTTTTAGAACTTCGAGGGTTACTTGTTCAATATTAATTGTCCATCTGAATCTCTTTCGTTCTTTTTGGGTTAACAACAATGTCAAACTCTGTAACATAACATAACAGCTAGGTTAGTAAAGAATCCGAATTCTTCCAAAGTGAGACTTTTGATTCCAGATTTATCACTTTTATCAAGAAATTTTTTGCTTCGCAGGCATATACTGCCTATACAAATATGCACCATAGACAAACTTGTTAAGTGGTTTCTCCAAGGATGCGATGAGATCAAACAATTCCTATCCATGGCTCAAAGCAATGGTTGATATAAGTGGCTTGACTATGACATGAATATGTTCTCAGAAGGTAAGACTAGAAAACATTTCGAGATCTTATTTGTCACAAGGAGTTCGTCCTCATCACTGAGTGTGAGATTGCTTAAGAGATCATCTTAACCAGAAATTTTACCTTCCATAACTTGAAATTGCCTGCAGAAAAACCATCGAACTCTGGTGCCTTTTTTGTCTTGATTGCATTCTTGAGGTGACTAACTACTGTAACTTGTTACCATCAATATCAACAGCAAACGCATGTGCGGATGTATTTCCATTGATGAGTAAAGTGATAGACAGTGACTTATATAGTATTTTTTTACGAAATGTTATTGGCTAAACTACTATATTGTGAAGGAAGAAATTTTTTTAACAAATAAGTGGGTGATTAGTATGTGAAAAAAATCGGGTATACAATCTAGGTAATCAAAGCCGTTAGAATTTCTGCTCAAATCGCATTAGTGGAAAAAAAGAAAGAAGCGTGGGTAAATTGAATCATAAATGACTTCATCCAGATTATGGTGTGACAAGAAAAGGGACCAGTAATAAAATTCGAACAAGAGGTCAAGGTTCTCAAAACCCACCGAAATGTTCATTCAAATCCATATACCAACAATTCTTCATTTGTAAAAGTAAGGTTTATGCCCTACAGAGGGTCTGATCCACGGTCACCCTAGTGGTAAGCACCAAAAAAAAATGCGTGATATTATTAATACTTTACATCATTTGACTACGAATGCAAAATAGCGGAATTTTTAGTATGTTGTATTTTCCTTCAGACTGTAATATGATAAGAATGCTTTTTATTTTTTCTGCTTGCGAAGTGCACATAAATTCGATATTTCTTATACATAGCTTTTTCGGTAAGTCGGATTACATAACCGTACAGCCCAAGCCTTATGTATTTTACCAACATCACTAATCACACGGAAATTATAAATACATCAGATTACGTGCCGTGGACTGAAACATTTTCTTTTATCTTAAACACTCTAATCATTTTTGG